TGGTTCCCTGCCTTGAAATTGAGCCAAGGTGATTTAGAAAGGCTGTGGGAAGTCTCCGCATTAACAGGTTGAAGATTTAGGAAACGCAAGGACAATTCGAGGGACCTCAGGATGATCTGGATACCAAGGAGGACTGACAGACTTTCTAAGTCCAACCAAGGGGAGATCCAGAGTGTGAAGATACCAGTTATCTTGTTGTTCTGTGGTGTTGTTGCAGAGAGCACCAGGGACCCCATCCCTTGAGTGCCATTTCCTGGTATGTGGCTTGGTTTAAGGTTAAGAAGCCGGACCTCTATCTTAACTGCTTTAGGCCTTAGGCATGGCTGCTTTGTTGTCAGTCTCACACTTTGCTAGAGACCAGATTTCCACCCCTTTCCACCCCCAGATTCAGACTATTTAGAGCAGGTGGCTGTTGCCAACCCCTCCAGGCATCTGTTCTACAGCATGGCTCTGATTGGTTATCATACATTTTCCTCAAAGGCAACATGTCACACTGAAGCAATATTTTGAACTTAGAATATTTGGGTTTTGAAATGTGGCCCCTAGCCTGGTAAGTTTTAGGGTATAGATATACAACACACACACACACACACACACACACACACACACACACACACACACACACACACACACCAGAGAGTGAGGGGACAAAAAACACACGAGAGAGAGAGAGAGAGAGAGAGAGAGAGAGAGAGAGAGAGGAGCTTGTTCTTGTCTTGACCTTTTGTAAAACTTGATGAGGTTCCATGAATCATTCTTTAAGAATCTAGAGGAGGAAAGGTCCCCTTTGAGTGTCACACACCTGTGGCCTCCTTCCAGTGCTAGTGACTGATGTATATTGGCCCATAGATTTGGCTATGAGACCAGGAGGAGCTGCAGCTGTGGAGCTGGAGAGTCAGTGAGCCCCATAGATGATGAGTGCTTCAGGGGAAGGGATGCTCGTTTTCTTCTTTTTTAAATGTAGAGATGCAGGTTTAGAGAATGGCCCTCCTAGGTTCCTTCAGCTGCTGTGTGCAGGACCTAGAGCCATCATGACTGTGTCCTACCAAAGACTTATTTTACAGCACTTAATGTTCCTCCAAGCAGGCTGATAATTTCTAGAAGGTTCCACTATCTTTCTTCCAGGAGGGAATTGATAAGAAAGACCAGTATCAGGCGTCAGTGATTGATGGTAGCTGCACACTCAGCGGTTTGGAATGGTATCTCCCTTTCTTTCTTTTATAGTTTTATTTGGCACATGATAATTGTTTTTTCCCCTCTCATTGTCATTTTTTCAATGGTCATCATCTCATAGACCAAATGGATATGTTCAGGAAGGCTGAGGGAGGTTTCTACATCCTTGTGAAGGTCACAGTGGCTGCAAAAGGCCTGACATTGAGGAACAATAGATCTGTCCCCTGAGGGTGGCACAGAAACCTGAAACTGTGAATAGTAGGCGGAGGTTAAGTTCAAGAACAGCTATCTTCACAGTGTTCTTGGTGTATTAGTTACTATCTTCTTTGTTGTCACCAAACACTCGATGAGGGGTGATAGGAGGAAGGAAGGTTTGTTTTGACTCAAAGTTTGAGGAGGATACAATTCATCATGGAGGCAAAGGCATAGTGGCCACTGAGCTTGAGGTGACTGTCACATTGTGCTCTGGTTGTGAAGCAAAGAGAGATGGATGCTGCTGCTCTACCAGGTCTCTCTTTTCTCTTCAGCCAAGGAGCCCAGGGCATGGTGTCACCCTCACTTGGGGCATCTTCCCTCACAGCATCCCCTCTGGGATCACCCCTATAGACACACCCAAAGATGTGCCTCTTTAATGCCCCAAGTGTTGTTTATTCTGACAACTCAACAATTGAAATTAGCCATCACACTCAAACATTACTTAATTTGACCCCTGGCCCTGGGTTTTGATTCTGGAGCAGTGGTTGTGTGAGCAGAAAACCCTGGATTTACAGTGTGCTCCAGCCTTGGGTCTCACTCTGGCTCTCTATGGAGGTGGGAGCAGGCAGTTGTCTTCTTAAAAGTAACCTTTCTGAGCTCTTGTCTGCAGAGGAGAAAATACAACTCACTTCTCAGTGGTGTTCTGTAGATTAAATATGGTGATGGGTAAATGTCCTTAGAATGGTCCCCAGCAGATAACCTGAGGGGTTCACTAGATATGATTTCTAGTCTCTTCCCTTGGGTGTGGACCTGCCTAGCCTTTGAAGGGCTGGGCATTTTGATGAATCCCTTTACCCTTCTGAATGCTTTTTAAGAAAGAGAGCTTAGAGCTCCTGCCTCATAGGCCCTGAGTTAGAAGAGGGCAAAAGAGAAGTCTCTAAGGAACACCCTGTAACCAGGACCTTTGAAAAGGCCCAAGGAAAGGAGTCTTTCCTGGTGTTGTTAGAGAAAATGATCCCCAGATATCATTGCCTAAAGATATTAAAGGTGGCTTAGGAGGGAGAAAAGAACAACCTGTCTCTCAATGTTTTATAAGAAATTAAATCAGAACGTAGAAAAATCCAATTCAGTTTCACCCAAAATGAGCAGCAATATTAACTCCATTCCTATTTAAAGCCAGGAAGTACAGCTGTGATAGCTAAAGGGAGGCCTGCCTCCAAGCAAGAATTTCAAAACAAACTCATTTGATGATGGGGCATTTGCATAGCCTGCTTTACTAGGCAAGGTTTGACCCAAACATAGTAGATTATCACACTCCCCAGAGGCCAGACATCCCAGAATTGATGCTGCTCAGTCTGCGGTCTGTTTTACTAATATGTACACAGGCACATTTGCCAGGCAGTGTGTGATTTGGCACAGCACACCTTTGTCTCAAATAGAAACGGGACATCTTTATTTGGAGAAGAAGAGATGCAATAGATAATAGTTGTGGAAGTTGAAGTTTTGGGGAAGGCATCAATAATTATCACTGTGGGGTGGGTGGCTGCTCTCTTTTTCATTGCATCTTCTCACATTCACTAATTTGTATGGAAATTTTGGGATCTCTCTTCCAAAGCCATGTGTAATGGCCATGCCATTCATTTCGGTATTGTGGGGTACCAAACATAGTACCAGCTTTCTCCTGCTATTCTGATACCAAAGCAAGGTGTCTGGCAAGCCAGTGCTGAAGATTAGGGGGCTGACGACGAGGCTCAGTTAGCTTAATGCTTGTCTAGAATGCACTTGCTCCTGGGTTTGCTAACCAGTACCACATAAACAAGGATTGTATGCCTATATTCCTAATACTCAGGAAGTGGAAAGAGGAGCTCAGGAGTTCTTAATTATCCTCTGTTACACAGATAAATTGGACAGTAAATGGGATACATGACACTCTGGAGAGAGAGAGAGAGAGAGAGAGAGAGAGAGAGAGAGAGAGAGAGAGAGAGAGAGAGAGAAAGACAGAGACAGAGAGAGATAGAATGACAGAGACAGACAGACACACACACACAGATATTATCAAAACCAGCAATAATTCCTCCACACACACTAGCAATAGCAGCATTGCAGCCCTCAGAGGCAGGCAGACCATTTTCATACAAAGGCATCAAGTGACATGACAACACAAGCAAGACAGCCTCTCCCCATTATAAAGGGGAATTATCTGCACCATGAAAGAGTGAGTGGTATTAATCTTAGGACCACAGGATACAGCTTCTGGACAGCCACTGGGAAACATAAAACAAACCTTTATTGCCCAGAAGCAGAAAGACACTTAAGAGAAGTGTAATTGAGAGGACTTTTTCCCTTTTAACTTAGATAGTTCCAGTGTGTTGGTGGGAGCTAACTGCCCAAAGATATGATTACAGGACCATCCAGTGACTGGCTTTTTTGTGACAGAATCAGCCCCACTTCTTGGCTACATTCTGAAATTCCTAGTACCAGGCTTCTCTTAGAGATGGAAATAGTGGCCACAGAGCAGCTGTTTGAAGGCACCAGTGTTAATTGGGAGTTAGCACCCATTAGCAGGACCACAGATCAATTTATCAAATTAGTAACAACCCCACCCCACCCCCCAAGAGCAAGAACTTTGGAATCTTACAGAAGTTAAATTGAAAAAGAACTTCAGGAAACATCTGGTTGTGCTCTTCTACTTGAAGAATATGAGGCCCAGAGAGGGTAAACAACTTGTGGAAGGTAACCAGCCAATCAGTAACAAAGATGGAGTGCCAGTTTCACTAGGCACTTATTTCCAGAATCATCTAGTCTGTAAACCCTCAATGTCCAAACATGAGAAGACATCCTCTGTGAACCCATGATCGAACTCTACTAGCCTATCCCATGCAAAGCATTTCAACTATGTTAGACACTAGAGAGTACATAAGGAGAGCAAAGAGAGGCTGAGCGGCCCATGTGCCCTGAGTGTGAGGCAAGTACACAGTGCCACACAGAATGATGTCCTCCTCTCTCCCACACAAGCCAACATGGAGCCTGATTGTCCCAGGGCAAGGCTTCTTCCTGCCATCTTTCCCTATGTCTTCATACTCAGTGGCTGTCCCTTGTGCTCCTCCAGGAGAGAGTAAGCCAGGACCTACCCACTCATAGCATTGCCCCATGTGGGAGATGCTGGGACGGCAAAGAAAGGCTATGAGGAACATGTGAGTTTGATTCCATCTGGGACTCCTCAATCAAGCAGGACAGAGTCTGCCTAGATCTTCTCCTGCACATACTTCTTAAAGCTTACATCACTTCCAGTGAACAGGGAGGAGGGAATCAAAAGCCAGAGAGCTGGTAAGTACCAGAGGCAGACTCAAATTCAAACAACTTGCTCAGACTGGCTGTGCTCACCCAGAGTGAAGATTTCTCCCTGTTCCCAGAGCCACAGCCAGCACAGCCCCTCAATGTCCCATAATAGAAGTTTGTGGAAGGACATCTTTTCTTTCCTATCAGAAGCCTGGAGCATGGTCACTGATGGAATAGTACCTTACCTCTTCTGGACAGGCAGAGGCTCTAGATGAGGTGAAGGCTTGCCCCCTGGAGGGCAGGGCCCACATTTGGGGAACAGCTTGTTCCACTGACCTTTGTTGTCATTGCAGGTCTGGAGTGCAGCTTTGACTTCCCCTGTGAGCTGGAGTATTCCCCTCCCCTCCACAACCATGGGAACCAGAGCTGGTCCTGGCGCCGTGTGCCCTCTGAGGAGGCCTCGCAGATGGACTTGTTGAATGGGCCAGAGGCAGAGCGCTCTAAGGGGACACCCAGAGGTAAGGGGAGAGTGTCCTGGGTGGGCATGGACAAGGCTTGGCTAACCATTTCCTTTGAAATGAAATGAAGGGGCTTTTCCAACCCTGCTTTGCCATTGACTCCTTGAAAATGCTCATTGAATATCTGTGCTTTTCCATGGCTCCTTGACCCCACGTAAGGGAACATGTGAGTCTAAGTTTAAGATTAATCCATCCCTTCACTCTTACCAAGTAATAGAGTAAGATTCTAGAGCTCTTCAACATAGATTTCCCAAGGTAAGATACTGAATAACATGTTGATCTGTTTGTCCATCTGGAATGGGGTTGCCAAGGAAAGCCTGAGTCACCTGATTGATTTGAATTTCTAAAGAAGAATAAGTACTTTTTTAGTATGTCTCAGGTAATGCTCAGATCATACTTAGACCAAAAACTATTCCAATCGTATGGAAGACTTCAAGTGTGTTCTGCATTTTTATTTGCTGAATCTGCCAATCTCAATGGGGAAGGTGCCGTACAACTGGGTTAAATGTGTGTTTCAGAGTCATTCATGAATATTCAGGCTGCAAGCTTGTTTTGCATGGTGCTTTCAGCAGTCCCGAGCTGTCTATGAATATTGCCTGCCAAACTTTCAGGACCTGAAGAGTAGATACTGAATCGTGGTCCTGGTTACATATTTGGGGAGTTTTTACAGGGAGATGTGAAAACATCAAGCCCCACTCCAGCCTTCTGGTCTCTCTATCCAAGTCTTGGACACAGAAAACTCTGCTGGCCCTTAAATTGACAACATGGGTTTCTGGTTTTTAGGAAGAGGTGAAAACTGAAATGGGAATGGATTTACTGGACACAAGTAGGACTTGCTATCCTTCATTGCTCTGTTGGAGTCAAAATTAGTGAGGGGAAAAGCAGGGCTCTGAGGAGGGTAGTGACTGGACCAAGACTACATGACTTGCACTTTCATGGGCAGGTCTACATGTCTCCCATGATGAGTGCCAGGCAAGGGCTCTTTCCACCATGTCATGTTTCTGTGTCTGTAGCAAAAGCTATGACCAGAGCCTGTACTGAACCCAAGTTCTTGGGAATGATTATCATGGGCTCATACATCTTCAGAGTCTATCAGGGACAGGGCTCCTGTGAGCTGAAAGAGCTGACATAACAATAATTCGTGCTATTGGATTTGTCCTATACACGTGTTGTCCTTAAAACATGTCATCACAACAGACCTACTAGGTGCGATCCCTTCCTATGCATTCTTCCGAGTCTCCTTTCCTGCTCCCACGACCCTGAGATAGATTGAGGTTGATTTGTGCTTTAAGCTGCCCTTTCCTGGCTGTCGGTGTCTGGTCTGGGTGAGAGCATTTGTATGTAAATCGTTCTTAACCAGGCAGTGCATAGGAGTTTATAAAGAAATTATAGAAAGTATTGCCATTGCCAAAGATCCCAAGTCAAGAGATCTGAGCTGAAGCCTAGCAATTTTACATTATGAAATTATGAAATATTTTACATTATGAAATCTGATATGTACAAAACATATCTATAACATGTGTACACAAATTACAGCTGACAATCTAAGCAACACTCAAGTTCTTCCCACTAAGCTGAAGCATCTCAATGTTGTCTGCCCTCACTTAGTCCAAAGACATCTCTCTACTCTTGGAGATAACTGTTCTTCTGCCTTGTAGGTTAATCATTCATGTATCTGTCTTTATGGCCCTACTATCCAAGAGGTGCCCTACACACAAAGAATCTATTAGGTCTGCTACCTTTTAATATTAATGGAGTCATTGTATCATTTTGTAACTTGTTCATTCTGATGCCTGTAGCTTTGGTCTATTGTTTTGGTGTCCTCTTGAATTCATTGCATGAAGGTAACATTTTCTTTGCTCTCTTCTGTCATTGAATGTTTGGGTTATCTCCAGATTTTTGCAATTGTCAATAACACTATTATAAGGATTTTTGCAGATCTCTTGGTGTACTTGTCTAAGAGTCCTTGTAACATATAACAAAAGTAGAATTGCTAGAATATGCATTCCATGCATCTTCTGTTTCATTAGATAATGTGGATCTATTTTCCAGAGTCGTTATATTGACCTATACCCTCCCACTTGTGATGTATTAGTGTTCCACCCTCTGACTTTTTGTCCTCACTAATTATTAGTATTCTCAGACTGAGGCATTCTTGTCCATCTAGCAGATGTGATAGTATTTCATTACAGTTGAAATCTCCATATGATTCTTTTAAATTTGAATGTGTATAAGTATATATGTATGTGAAGGTGGCAGAGGTTGACAGCAAGTGTCTTTCCTCAATTGTTTTCCATATTAGTATTTTTTAAAGATTTATTTGTGTGTGTGTGTGTGTGTGTGTGTGTGTGTGTGT